ATTTTCAGTCATTAGTCCCACGATGTACGTCTAGTCCAAAATAACATTTGAACGTAAATATTGGAAGGATTGAAAGTACAACAGTATTTAAAGGTGAATGTTTATTATCATTTTAACTCATGTGAGATTTTACATTGAAGATTAAAGAATCATAGAAATATGTTGCAGCATAATTTCTTTTTCATGTTTATTTTTTATTTAAGGTATTTCATTAACTGACTCTCTGAACAAACAGCCGCAAACATGAACCTTTTTTAAATAATGCACAGGATTAGCATGATCATTTTCTTCTTGCTTGTTGCCATCACACTCCCAAACATCAGTAAAACTAACAGTGAGGAAATGTGTGTCTTTCTAAAGCCCGTTAGCTCTCGCAAAGAATCCATTTGTCTTAACATTCTCTCCTCCCTCCTGGAAAGCATTAAACGTGTTTAATTACGCGAATGAGCACTGCTTGATTCTGCCGAGGAGCTGAATCAGCAGATTTACGCTCGCTCTCGAGATCTGCTTCATCAAAGAATTATTCTGAAAAAAAAAATACGAGTTTCTGGCATTAAAGACGTGTCAGTGCTCCATTCATTGGCCTTCGCCTGCCGACACGGCGTCTTAGTGAAATTACAGCAAAGTCCCTAACAATCAGAAATAACACCTTGCTGTGACGGAGAAATTACACATCTTTTTGAAACAGATAAACGGTGCGATAAAATTGTGCCACTGCGAGGAATGTGGCTGCTTTAATCTTTTTGCTAAATGTGCTGCTGAGGATTATTGTCAATTTCTGGGATCTTTGAGGCTCTCGATCAAATGAAAACGCAGCTAATTCTTTACTAAGAGTGCTGATTTATGACCCAGCTGTTTGGGGAGATTATGTGAACATTCATTCATTCAGACTGTGACACGATCATGGCAACAGTAATGTATACAAACCTTTTATTGCCTTGATAGTACGCTGCAAATAATTCATATTTGATCTCCTGTGACAGTCTGCGGATAAAATGTAAGTTGGGTTGACTTAATGCTGCTTATACAGCAGGATTACAGTTTGAGCAGCAAGTAATCACAAGCAGACACCAATAAGCTTGTGTCATTATGCAGCAGTGGTCTGGATGTATTTATACAGCTCAGTGGCTGCACTCTGAGTGGATCAGTCGAAGCAGTTCCCATACCCTCTCAGGTGTCCTGTGTTCAGAGCTGCCTGGTCCAAGAACTCAAATAAAGGCTTCCCTTGTCTGCAGGAGGGAACAGGTAACCATTTGTGCCTGTTCTGCAGTGTGTGTATGTGTGAGGGAGGGAGGGAGGGAGAGAGAGAGAAACAAAGAAAGATAGAACTGACTGGCCTGCCTGCTTTAACCGCAGGAGCAGGTGTGGCGTTTCAGCAGCCTCACATTCACAGCGAACACGAACAGGAAGGTAAACTGTGATTTCCAGGCAGGGACTCTTCAAGCAAACGAGCGGCATCGTAAATAAATGTATTCGTTTCATGAGAAGCAGTAAACAGTGAATGGTTTTTATTCTCCCTAAGAAACACTAAACAGGTTAATGTGAGACTGTTTACTGGTGTAGAAAACATATATAAAGATTTACACCCTGTTAGTGAGAAAATGACTCCAAWCGATGAATAAACATGCGTGACTTGTAGGTTGTAACAGCCAGCTGCAGTGTGTGTGTGTGTGTCTTTGTATTGGTATGTGGACATATTTTGACATTTTACTATGCTTATACATTTTATCATTGTGTGGATATTTGCCTTGTCTACACAATGGACCCATTTGTGAATCAGGGGTTAGGTTTAGGGCTAAAGTATGAATTAGGTTTAGGCTAGGGTTAGGGTTTGGCTCTAGACATTAATGGAAGTTATGAGACAAATGTGTGTGTGGACGTTTTTGCTACCTGGTGGGGTTGATTTTTGACCATTTTCCTGGTACACACAGCATGGTGAGGACCCACTCATGGTTGGTCAGTCAGGGGTTCAGTTTTGGACTAAGTAATTGAGTTTAGTTTAGTTTTAGGATAAGGGGTCAGCGATAGGCTATGGAAATGACCGTTAAATGAATGGAAGTTAATGCAAAGTCCTCATGAGGATACAAGAACAAACGTGTGTGTGTGTGTGTGTGTGTGTGTGTGTGTGTGTGTGTGTGCAAAGACTTAAAAGCGATAAAAGTTAAATATTAGACATTCAGCCTGCTTTGTGGCCCAAAGTGCAGAAGTGTATAAAGTACAAGCAAAAATCAAAATACCTAAACAGAAAATGGCTTTGATAAAAATGAATTTCACTGATAAATACTTAAAGTAAATATCATAAAACTGCTCACAATAATCTGGAAAGTAAAAGTAAAAGTACTTTTACAAACACTAAGAAATTAGGTGTTGAATTAACTTAAACAAACTGGTTCCACTAAACCAAGTTGAGTAAACTGAGCAATTTACACATTTTTTAAAAGAAAAACATTATTTTTTTTTTACATTTACTCAACTTGGTTTAGTGGAACCCGCTAACATAATTTGGTTTAGTAAATTTAACGCTTCATATTTTAGAGTGCGTAAAAAACTCATTTCAATATGAGTTTTGTCATATTTAAATTTGTAACAAATAACTTTTAAAGCATAGAAGTGAAGAAAAACATTTTTGTTTTGAATGTAACAAAGTAAAAGTTAAAAAAATACTTTGTAAAATCACCAAACTGCAATGAAATAAATGTACTTACTACACCTCTGGCAAAGTAACTAATCATTTTGTGTTAAATATTCCAACACAAGCTGAAATCAGATTGTAGTTTCGGCAGCAGGTTCCAACACTTAATGCTAATAAACATTTAGTTCAGTTACTTTTTTAAAACCATCAATTAAAACAGTTTTAGAATAAAAACCTCTAACTGCTTCACACATAAAGTATGTGTTGAGGATGACATCATCTTTTAATTCCATGTTTGTAAAACTGAGTCGGCCAAATTGAATCGGCAGACACAGACGCAGCAARAACATTATTGCCCTTACATTTTCCAGGCAGATCATTGAAACCAAAAATGAGGAAGAGTTATTGAAGATCTGATTGGACAAACAAATTCAGTCCAGTTAATGAGCAAACGATAGACTAGATGGGCTTTTGAACAACTCCCAATCCATGTAAATATTAGCTAATCGTGTTAACTTCTGTATGGGTTTTGAAAATAATAATAATCTTGGTACAGAAACAGGTATATGTAAATATTAGAAAATATMAGATATGATCATAAATCATTCACTCTGGGGAAGATGAAAGGATCCTTGTTGATTCTTTATTTTAAGATAATAGTCGCCTGCCTTTCCCATAATATGCAGAGAATACAAGCTGAGAAGAAAAACAGTAAGTTAAACACATAGTTTCTTTGAGACTGTATGTGTTGTATTAGTGCCCCTCTACCAGGTGCTTGAACCTGAGGATTACCTGTTCAGGAAGCAGGAGGGTAAAACAGAAACCGAACTCCTCTGGTCACAAGATTCAACTTTATGACTTTTTACCAAACATTCACTGTAAAATATTCAATCCGAAAAGATGCTGGTGATAAAACATGAGTTTTGAAAGGTAAAGTGAAATGTTTCAGTCTGGGTTTTCAGTGAAAGGCGAGAGTGAGGAGGATGTGTCGTGTTCCTCTGTCTGTCCTACTGTTGTGGTGTTCTGTCTGAAGCCGCTGTGTGTGTGTGTGTGTGTGTGTGTGTGTGTGTGTGTGTGTGTGTGTGTGTGTGTG